AATTAATTGGGGTATTCAATTTTGTTTTTCTTTTTCTTTTCTTTTTTGTTTTTTTCCAACAAGATAAGATTTCCAAATTAGTCTCTCAAACCAATGATAAATATTTCGTATACTTAAAAGCTGGTTTTAGGATTTATTAGCATTCTGGAAGCTTCAGTCAAGGAACAAAGTTTATATTTTTAACTGGATGAAACACCATGCCTTCTAACTTGTGTTTTGGCAGATTGTAAACAACTGGTTGTTTTAAATGTGCCTGTGGTCATTTTAAGGTTTTATTAATGAAAAAGTATAATAAGTTTTTACTCGGTTCATAAATCTGCTTTGGTGACTTGATAGAAACTTTAATGCCCAGATGTTGAAGAGGGAGAATTAATGATTCTCTGTGACACTGGTTTAAAAACTCCAGTTTAATAGCAAATTTATCCAAAGGCCATTTAGCTCATGTTATTTAGTCATCAGAAGCAATTATTTATAAATGAACTCCACAAACTAAAAGCTTTAATTGATGCATATTTCATTCAGTCAGCTGTTGGCCTGTATGAATGGTTATTGATCCTTTCTAGACAAATACTGTATACAGAAAAAAATGACTATCAACAACAGACGTAGTCATTTATGAGACACAGAATCTGTTCAGTCTAATTATAGTCAGTGTTTTGGACAATAAAGCCTCTTTGATAAAGTTGACTGTGGTTGACCAGAGAAAATGATACTGAGGGGAATTCTCTCTGTGACTGAAACAAAGATTTAATTTTGTCAGACACAGAAAAAAAGAATGAGGTTGTTGTCAAAGCGGCAAACAGAATGTCACATATGGAATTCCCTGTCATCCATAAATTTATATTGAATGTGCAGTTTTATTGTTTTGTTGCATCCCAGCATGAATTTCTTTTTTTAAGAAACTGCATTTTTGCAAAAGAGTCCTTCATTGAGAATCATTCCCAATGTCTTAAGCCTCTGGTTTTGTTAATAATTTGACATTAATTAATCTTTTAGCTGGTTTTAAGCAGTGTCTATGTCTCAGCTGCAGTTTTCTCATTTTAAAGCTGATGAGGTAGTTCACTCTGATTAATTAAATGTGTTTCCATACATGATGCCTCTATTTGAGGATCCTATCACAGGTTAAACAGGATTTAATTTATGAGTCTTTGTCTGCAGCCCTGCTTCTAGTTTGGCTAATATGAGTCACTGTTTTGATTAAGATCTCAATGTTTTCCTCACTGCATAAATACTGATCTATTTTTTAGAATAAACTAAATGTAAATCAGGGTATTTAGGATTTAAAATTAGTATAAGGCTGTAACAGCTTTTTATTAAGGTTTAAAATGTTCTTTTTAAGGGATTTCCTCATGTCACTGTTGCACATTTCGATCACCCCTCCTTCTGGCTTCCTTTCTCCTGTATTCCCTCTAATCATTTACTGAGGCTTGCCTGTCAATCCACCTGACCCTTAGCTCCCTAAATCAACACAATGTATTCTGCACCAAACCCTGACAGCATGTCGACATGATCCCATGCTTGACATCCAGGGGCTGACTACCTTCTGCACAAATCTATATCAAAAAGCCAAGCTGCAAGGTGCAGAGGGGGGGGCTATGTCCTTAGTTTGACAGCATCCTGTAGATGCATATGGATCCTAGAGATTAATTACAATGACAGGTTCCAGAAAAAAGTTAACTTCAGAGCCATCACTTTAGAGTTTGAAATTGCAGCTATCATCCTCAAAGGAAATTCAAGAAGAAAGTAAAAATAGTAATGAGAGTATTATTGTTGACAGAGAAAGCTCTCCATCTATAACCCTGTGTTATGCAACTATTGCTTTAATAGCAGAATGCCCCTGTTACTGCTGAATGTGTGGTTTGATCATTCACAGACGCCTAAGTAATCAGGGCAGAGAAGAAATATCACAGAATGTATAATTTGGTGCACTGGATCTCTGGAGAGTTTTTTGTTTGTGTTGCTGACATCGTGTGCCTCGGCTCTGTTTCTGTGTGTTTTCATGTATAAGCGTTTGATAAGCAGGATGGCTAACACAGATGTCCCGTAGTTATAGCAGGTGGCAGCCAGTGCTGCCCTGACCTGCCCTGACCCCAAACTGCACCTTTTAGAAGTAGATTGGTCCAGATTTGCCAGTGTAACACCAACTCTCACAACCAGTTTCAGTTTCAGGCAGAAATACAAAGATTTATCCAAGCATTGCATGGGGTTATCATGAATATATATTTTTCATTTATTTTAAGAAGAAGAGAAGTCCTTGTTTGGGTCTTTTAGTAAGATAACTATTTATTTGCAGCATATTTTTAGAGGTTTTACTCTTTTCAGGCTGCTTGTTTACTGTCCGCTCCTAATTCTGTGAGAGAGAAAAAAGAGAGACAGGAAGAGAGAGAGAAACAGAGACTTTAAGCAGATAATGGAATTAATAGAAACAGATAAAGGAATATTGCATCCTTTAAAGCTTTAAACTTTTGTATTTCCTAGATTTCAGGACATCCTTTTGGAAATCTCAGATTTACGGTCAGAATGTAGAGTCTTCTGTACTATCGCAGACTCTAACAGTAGGATAACTATACAAATTCTTGTTTCATATATATTATTAAATTATACATCTCTTCATAAAAAATGTAAACTGGCTAAATTCAGTATTTAAATGAAGAATATTTATTTTGATTATAGACCCATAATGACATTTTGTCTAGACCCAGAATGCATACTGTATAAATGTAACACAGAAAGAATAGATAAAATATTAAAAAGAATTTAATTGTAAAACATGTCATGGGGAAAAGTGGATCACTTATAGCTGTTAAAAGATATATGTGGATGGGGATGTGGCATGATGCAGCTACATAGAGAACAGCCAATGATTGGTCATGAAACTGACCTGCTGTTGAATGTCTGGGAAAGAAACAGCTTTTAAGCCTATTTGCAATTAGCAGGTGAATGCAATGCAAAAACCCAAGATTAGTACTCAGCCGCAATATTCTGATTTGTACATCTCTGTTACAAGCATTTTAAAAGAGCAGCTTGTTTAGCTTACTGATAAAGCCGATTGCTGTCCATCTTTTTTTATGATTCCTTGCCCTCCTCCTCATTCTGTTCTTCGCTGAATTCCTCCTCTTTTTCTGTCTTCACATAAATCCTGGTTTCCATCCATCTCTTTGATGGAACACTTCAGTGTCAGAGTGGAGATTACATTCTGCATCATACTGTAGCATGGGTGATCATACACTCCAAACCACGCTGTGCCAACAACAGAATCACTGCTTCTCCAGCATTTCCCATGACGGCCTAAAGATTTAGCTGCCACTGCCACACAAACCTCAGCATTAAATGGTATGATAATATGACCAGCAGTGGGTCTCAGGGGCATCACAGAGGCTCTATAAAAACTGACTCACTGACTATAAGGCGCCATTCAGCAGCAGGAGCAGCTGCATCTTCATCTATTGTGTCCTGCATGTTTATGGATGTTGCCCAGATGGTAACAAGTCATTGTCGGGTTTAGGGCATTCCCGTTTCCTCCAGTCCTTTGGAGGGGGGTTCATCTGGGACAAGCTGCAGTCAACCGTCATATGCAGGGAGCGGAAGAGCTCCTCGGAAGCTCAAACATGCAGTGGCATGATGTTTGCTGTTTTTTTAATTATCACACAATTAGACAAGTTTGTGCTCAATTTACCCACCAAACACTAGAGAGATAACTGCTATCATGGTATGAACCCACACAGCTTAAAACAAGTGCTTCAGACAAAACAGCTATCTGCATTATTAACAAAACAGGTGTAATTCTTCTTTTATGTCTGTGAAAAAGAAATCTGACGGGATGTAGCAACTGACAGCAGGTATCTATGAAGCATACAGCCAGGTGACTTCCTCTTTTTGCTGTGGAACACCTCCACCGTCTGCTGCGTGCCGTGCCCCACCCTTTTTCCCTTCTGTAGCTCTGTCAGACTGAATGTCTCTCTTATTTACCCTCTCCTGTTGATATCTCAATCTTTTCTTGCTTCCTTTTAGTGATTTTAGTTTATTCTTTTCTGTTGCCTCCCTACCTTGTCGTTAAGGAAATGTTGCCCTGACAACTAGGTCCTGCACAGAAGATAGGATGTACATTCAGCTGTGCTTATAGCAGAGTACTATCCTCTGCATCAGTGAAATTCCTCACAGCGCATTGCAATCAAGGGCTGTACTTAACATTGAGCCATGCAGCTATTAGCTGGGGGAGGGGAGAAGAAAAACTGATTTACATTAAAACTGCAAAAAAAAAAAGAAGGATTTTTTTAAGAATTCAAGAATTACATCCAGTTTTCCAAGTATTCTGATTGTTTATATTTTTACAGCTTCTATGCTGTTATAAATGCACACCGATAAACCAGATCAGAAACAGATCAATGCATCAAACAATACAGAAACCTGTCAGCATCATGTTGCATCTAGTTTTCTGACTATCACGTTTCTCAACTTTCTGCATATTGTGGACAAGGAAGTGAATATGAGATGGCTTTAAACAGAAATAACAGACAGACAGATACTATCTTGTTGTTACAACAGTTAATAACACACCAAAGTGCTTAATATTAATGTCAGACGAGACCCTGTTGCATGCGATATTTTGAATGCAACGTTTAGACACTGCAATACAGCTTGTTATTCAAAATAAAAGTAGAATGTGACTCCAGACATAAGTATATTTTTCCATTAGAGTTTTATTAATTTTTTTGCAAGTAAATCAAATTTGACTTTAACTGAGTTTTAATGAACATACATGAAAAGGTCTTCTTTTAAATGACACAAAACGGAAAAACTACAGTTGCAACGAAAGGAAAAGGCTGTTAGAGTTATTTCCATGAAGCAGGTGGAGGTTAGCCACAGAAGATGAGGCAAAGGTGAGATGCCACAAGCAACCTCCACCTGACAACCTCATTCCTCCTGTCGCCACACGTCCCCATTGCTCAGTATCCTTTAATGACAATCTATTCCCTCCAATCTAAAGAAGATCCTCTTACCCTCAGAGTGATGCTCCTGTCTGCTGGTGGTTCTTTGCGCCCTTTTTTTTCCCTCCCTCTCTTCCTGATCTGCTTGAGCCTTTTCTTCCTCCTTGCTATGGAAGTGAGTGTGCCCCCTCTCTCCTCTCTGCTGATGCTGCAGTGGTAGAAAAACACACCCTCCTTTGGCCGCGCTCTCTCCCTCTCCTCCCTGACTCTCATTGGTTGCCTGTTAGGGGTGACATCACCCTTCTTCTCTGCCTGCTGCCTGCCTTTCTCCTCCTCTATCCCCTCCCTGCCTACCTCTCTCTCTCCTCACCTCAGCCTCTAAAGCCATTCCTTTATTGTGCTCCTCTTCTCTCCTCCCGCCTGTCCCCTGTGCACCCGTTTCTCTCAACATGTTCAGGGTTATTATATCCAACACCTTCCCGTATTTTGGTTCAAGCACCACCAGATATGATAATGCATACTGAGAACATTGCCTGTGGCCCTTTTTAATTTCTCATCTGTTCTCCTGCTGCTTCATTCCAGGAGCCTGTGTTCTGCAACAACATGTTTGTTTAAAACATTTCCTCTCTATGCTTGGCCCTAACTTTTAATTGAATGGATCTATAACTTAAGCTAGGCTTCATTTCATAATAGTCTGGTTGTAACCATTTCTTGGGTGAATTTTATATAACGAGAATTAATAAAAATGCTTCAGAAATCAGTTTTGCTTTCTGTTTGAGGGCTGCTGATGCACAGATTTCAGGCTAATAAAGAGCCATGCAGTCCAGGGATCGCCTGGCTCTATTCATTCTTGCTGAAAGAAGATAACACAGTTGTTAAATGTCATTGGGTGGCTTTAATCCAGCGCGCACACTGATAGAGATCTTTTGTTTGACATGCTTTTATCTGCCGCTCCCTGATTAATACTAATTTATGTTTCAGTCATGTGTCTCTGCATCCCCTGCAGCTTATCCGCGAGTCTGATATTTTCGTTGGTCTTTCATTTCCTTTGAACGAGCTGTATAAACAGGTGCTTGATGTCTGTAACCCCCCCCCCTCAATATCCAATAAACAATTGTCCTGCTCAATTTCACACTTCTTCAACTCAAAGCTACCAGGAAATGTTTAATTTGTTGCCTGCAGACTGCTGAACTGTTTAGCCCTCTCTTTTCTGAGATTACTCCTGTGACAACTTTAGATTTTATTCTTTGTTTTATTACTTTAGTCTGAGCCCTTAGAGCATGTCTGTGAGTAAACACTGTGAAATTTACCAGGCACAGAAAGAACGAACCCACATCCACATGGAGTGTTTATTGGCCTGGACACAGGTGTGGCTTTTTGTTTTTTGGATTAACTTTGTGGGATTAACACCTTGACGGATTAAGCTAAAAAATTATAAATTATGTTTGATTGAGACTCCAGGTGAAAGCACCAAATCAACTCCTAGGCATGGAGACTGCTAACATTTGTGGAAAATGGGTCGCTCTCTGGACCGAATGCTGAAACTGAGCCTTTAGATTGTGTAAGGGCTACATGATGAAAACCACCAGACTTACTGCCTTTCTTCCATATAATGAGAGTGGAGTCTGACATTAAATGGCTGCAGGTTAACTTATCTTTTCTTAAGTTTCTTTATTCCTCATTTCTTAAATTTCCAACGCATAAACCTACCGGTTCATAACCATCTGTACAACATTTTATTTACCTAGGTGGTATATTTTTAAAGGATTATGCAGACACAACCGTATAAATACTTAATACGTATAATACTGACATCAGTATCAATGAGCTACGGTTCTGATGCCCGTTTGTAGAACTCTGATTATACACTTTGAGCCACCCCCAAAAATTACAAGCAATTTGTTATATTTTGTTGTTTGAAGCAGTTATTGGATGTCCTCAGGATGGGTATGACGTGTGACATGTTCAGTATGAGACATGCCTTTGTGTAATCCAGACCAAATATGACCAGTACAACAACACATACAGATGCATTTAAGTGAAACACTTTTGTCTTTGCCTTTTTTAAATAAGAGCAGTAAAAAAAAAAAAAGACAATTAGCCCAGTCACACACATATGATCCACATTTACTCCTAAAAATAAAACTCAGAAATTAGGACATTAACCATGTCCATTTAGAAATGCTACCTATTCCTGCTGAGCTGCTGCAGGTTTTCCATTGTGTTTCCTCTGCCTGAGGTTTGCCAGCAGGATCATCTGCCCTTGGTGTCCAAGGAGCTGCTAGGCATTTGGACAAAATCTGGCACAGCAGTAGACAGCATGGGAATAATGATGGATGGTGGAAGGTAGGTGTGACCCTCCTCTGTTGTTCCCAGCAGAGAGTTGGTGGCTGAAGGGAAGCTGGGGAAGGAGGGTCAAATCTGTCTCTGCTTGGCTGCCAGGGGATGAAAAAACAAAAGGGAGACTATGAGGTGGAATCTTTATTTATCTTAAGGAATATTAAGAAATATTCAACAAAAATACCAAAAATGGAGTCAGTAGTCAGGTTTATAACGGAGAGACATTTTCATCAAGGGAAAAATTACTCTCTCACATCGATCTGTTGTGAAAGCACTTGGAGCGTTTTATCTCCTTATGGCAAGGGCTTAATAAGTAGACCTTTAGCCTGCCACTTTACACAGATACTCATCTGTGAAAGACTTTTACCTGCTCATAATAAAGGATCTCTACCTATCCTACTTCCTCCTGCGGTTTGAACTGTCAGCCCAATGGCAGACTAACAGGAGCAGTAGAAGGATGTATATAGGAGGATGTATATGAGAAGAGGTAAAAGAGGTGCAAAATGAGAGCAGCAGAGAGTCTATGAATGATCCACCTGAAAGCCTGGAGATGGAGGGAAAACAGATACAGTCAGCAAAAGATGTAAGAGACAATTGGGAAGGTGGTTCCATCAGCTTAAAAAGCCTAAAGCAATACAGCAAATGGCTGCAGTGAGGATGGGGATGCTTAGAGCTAGAGGAGTCAGAACTGAGATGGAAAGCACAACTCATTAAAGAAAAAGAGTAAGGTATCATTAAACTAAATGCACTGGTAACAAAGCGTGCTCCATGTCTGCTTCGTTAGGTTTATTTCACTTTTACCAGGTTGGGCAGCGGAGCCCGTTTGCTTAAGGCTTGAATTCCTTACTCAACAAGGTGTTTCAAACCTTTATGAATTCTAGTCCATGTTAACATGCTGACATCAAATAGTTCCTGCAGATATATTAGCTGCTCATCCATGCTGTGACTCTCCTGATCCATCACATCTCTGAAATACTCTATTGAATTAAGATCTGCCAACTGTGAAGGTCATTGGAGGATAGAAAACTCATTGCCATGTTCAATTAACCAGTTCCAGAGGATTTAAATTTTGTGCTCTGGTATAATATTATTTGCTGGAACAATTAGATGTTGGGTACGTTACAATCATAAAGGGACAGACATGGTAAGGTCCAATACTTAAGATTGCTGTGGCCTTTGGACAGCACACCACCACTAGCGTTAAGGGTTGAAACAAAGGATGGATCTCTTTCTTCATGTTGGTTTTACCAGATTCTGACTGCATTGTCTAAACATTGCCACTGAAACAGATTCATCAACACTGATTCCCACTTGTTCTTGTCAAATGTTGATACAGTAAGGGGACTGAAAAATGTTCCTGTTCTTAGCTAACTGCATTGTCGCCAGGCGTGGTCTTCTGTTGCTGCAGCCAATGTGGTTCAGATCTTGATATATTTTGTTTGTTTTAAAAAGTGGTTATTTGTAATTATTTACTATCAAGAAGTCCACTTAGTGGAGTTAAAAGCTTTTAGCTGATTCAAATGCTGCAGCTCTGCAGACTCTTATTTTTCCAGAGTTCTGATGGAAATTAACAAGAGAGTCACATCTCTCCTATTTTAGCTCCTGTCATTTGGTTTCAGTTAAATCCAGAATATTTTTAAAGACTGCTTCTCATTAACTAAGCCAGTAATAACAAGGATCCAGTTGTTCCTTATGTTCCTAAGAGAGCACTTCACTGTCAATCTGCAGGTTTAGTAGTTGTTCCAAGAATTTCTAAAAGTAGAATGGGAAACATATTTTAGCTTATTTTTAAGGGTGGGCTTAAAACATTCCTATTTGATAAAGCTTATAGTTAAAGTGGCTCAGGTTATCCTGCGTCATCTCTATCATCATGCTGCTATAGTGTTAGACTGCAGGAGGACATAGGGACCACTTTTAATCAATGTGCTTCACTCTATGTCGACTCTGCAATTGTGCTTGATTTGTTTGATCACCTTCAAACTAACTAACTTTTACTATTCTCTCATCATAGTAGCTTTGTGTGGCCTGACACTTGTTTTTGGCTGTGACACTGTTTATTAGGTTTTCCCATTTTTTAACAGCCATCATTTTAACATGTGTATTTTACATAGATGTCAAGTTATAGCAATTATTAAAGGGGAAAACAATAAATACATAAATGTGCACATACATATGCATGTATACACACACACACACACACATAGGTATATGTATATGTATAAACCAACAAAAGCATACAGAAATAATTCATGTGTAAAGACTCCACCCAAAAATGTAAATAAAAAATCGTAATAAATAATCTTTACTACAATAAAAGAAAACAAAATGCAAAACTATACAGTATTTAGGAGGAGGGATGTGCAAGTAAAATTATTTTTTAAGTATCCTTTTCATGATAGTCAATGAAGGGTTTCTAAGCAGAGTAAAACATATGTTTCTTCTCTTTTAGAGAATATTTATGCTTTTCCAATGGTAAGGGCTGCATAAACTATTTTAGAAAGTTATGGCGTGTAGGAGGACTTTTTCGAATTAAGCAAAATTATGTGTCTTGCTATTAATAGAAAACAAACTAAACATAACAGATTGATTTGCAGACTGTGTGTTAGAGGGGAAAACAATGAATAATGACATAAGCGGGTCCATAGTGAGACTGATTTAAAAAAAAGTTTAGATAAAGTTAGATAAATAAATGCTTTTGGTCAACTGTAGGGTGATATTGGGACAGTTACAGAATGTATGTGAGAGTGTTGCAGGAACATAACCACAACGTTCACAAGACAAGTCTGCTCCCGAGAACATCCTGGACAGTCTATGCTTTGACAGGTGTAAAGAGTGAAGAATTTTAAATTGCAA